GCCACTTCTTAGCCACTCCCGGCTTGTGTTGTGCATGCGTTTCCATGGCTCTGCTGTAATGGTTCACAGGGGGAGTCGGTTCTTGGATGGGGGCTAACTGTAAACGTGTTGTGGTTTTGGAGGTCCAGGCAACATTTCTTGCATTTCATCCACTGGAGGCAATTGCCGGTGGGGCCAGCACTGAGTGAAGGCTCAGATCAGCAACATAAGGCCTGCCATTTTTCCAGAATCACGCAACAGCTGAGTTACTTAAAGTTTTCATGAAGGATGAGGACAGAGAGTTGGCTCATAAGATATCCCAAGGAAGCTGCCTCACCATTTCCACATAACAGTGGCTCTCCTCTTGAAAAGCGGGAGATTCCCTCGTTCTCTTTTTCTCCGTCTGTAAGGGCTGAGCTCAAGGAGACACATCACAGGCATTGTACATCCAAAGGTTAAGTCACTTGTTCCATGGCGGAGTTACCTTATACGCCCAGTACTGGCACAGGGATTGGTTTTATTAATGCCACTTGTTGAGCGTCTTCTGGAATATGTTTAAAAAGAGTTGGCAGAATGAGGGAATTAGAGAAGGTTAGCGCAAAATAACAGAATTGGAAGATAAAAAGGTGTCTGAGAACCTTATCCACTCCTTGACCTTGACTTTCCAGTTCATCTCAGGAACGGGAGTAATTGGAGCATCTGAGGGAAGTTCTGAAATTACTATTTCCACAGTCACGGTCAAACCAGTATTGCATAACCTTGGCTTGGTGAGATGACACTGTGAACTAGGTGGTGTTTAGCATGTGTCATCATGCATCAAATTGCCCAAAATGTGAGTAATCAAGGGGACCTTCCTGACAGAGGAAATCCGTGTACTTTTGGGGGATTCCATTACCATTGTGCCCTTGAACAAGGCACCCAAGTTCCTTCAGTCAAACTGCCCCCGCAATAAGTGTAGTCAAAGTTGCTTTAGATGGAGGGTGTCAAACCCTGCTCCTGGAGGGCCAATTTTTGTGCCAAATCAATTCAGTTCCAAATCTGTACAAACACCTGAATCTGCTAATCAAGTCGTCAGGATTACTTGATAATTACAGAAAAGCCCAGTTCAGACAAAAAACACATAAAACACTAGTTTTCACAAAAGTGGAACAGGAACGATGCGAAACAACACATGAAACAGGAGTTGTTTATTTGAAAATGGACATCGGGATGAAATTAGCAAGTGGTGCAAGCTGTTTGCGCAATGATCTGTTCTGAAAAAGTTTGCTCAATTTCTTGTCCACACTTTCCTTAAAGCCATGTTGCTGCTGCTGTTTTTCTTTTGGTGACCTCAACCCATGCCTTGCTCTCTCATTGGCTGTAGCTCGTCGCAACACCTGATACCACAGGATGTTGAGTCGCCCGACCAGTCCAGATAATATAGCATGTTTGATATTTGTTTGGCGTCGGCGAGCCTCTTTTTTGCGTTGTTGAGTAGTTCACACATAAAGATCGCAGAGCACTGATTACGCGCTGATTTGCCCCCAATCACAGCCTGACCTGTCGGTGACGGCGAGCTTGTTAACATGCAAATCGGGCCTAAATCGTGGTTAAAATACACTGGGACGCTCAGCAGCACACACACATGCCAAATACTGTATTAAAAATAAAAGGATTACAATGTAAAAGATTATTATTGTGTAGTCTACATAAATATAAAAATGCCCACATGTCATAATAGATAGTCATTGCATGTATCAGAATTAGGCTACCTATTTGCTCGCGCACGAGCAGATCCGTTTCCTCTCTGGAGACGTGTTCAGTCTTTGCACTTGCAAATTCCGCCATGTAAATAGCGAATCCGCCATGGCACGAGCGCAACTGCCTCTTAAAGGGAATGGGAGATGAACTCTGATTGGTTTATTGCAGGTTATGCCCAAAACACACCCATTACTCATTAAGAGAATAGGAACAACTCTTTTAGATCATGCGCGGGGCACGCCGACCATTTTTCTCGATGTTAAACTAGCAAAAGTGGATTGTGTAGCAATAGCCAAAAATACATGGCATGGGTCAAAATTATCGATTTTTCTATTATGCCAAAAATCATTAGGATATTAAGTAAAGATCATGTTCAATGAAGATATTTTGTAAATTTCCTACCGTAAATATATTAAAAATTCATTTTTGATTAGTAATATGCATTGCTAAGGACTTCATTTGAACAACTTTAAAGGCGATTTTCTCAATATTTAGATTTTTTTTGCACCCTCAGATTTCAGATTTTCAAATAGTTGTATCTCAGCCAAATGTTGTCCTATCCTAACAAACCATACATCAATTGAACATTTATGTATTCAGCTTTCAGATGATGTATACATCTCAATTTTGAAAAATTGACACTTAAGACTGGTTTTTGTGGTCCAGGGTCACATGTTCTATGGTTGTGGATATCCAGTTTCTTGCTTCTAAGTGCCTTAGAAGAAGTCTTTAACCCTTGTGCGTCAATTAAAAAAAGTTACACATAGGTCCAGAGTGGACAAAAATGTCAGTGTCAAAAAACTGTCATAAAAATTTGAAGCTTGGGAGCACAGAGCTAAGTTTGGTCTTATTTTAAAGAAGACCCATGGTAGATTATTGTTGAAGTAAAAAAAAGTTCAAAGAGTTCAAAAAGTTCACCCAAGGGTTGCTACTATTATTCATATATTTGATTCCATTAACCAGCAAACTTTGGCAAATCTGGTTCTTCCTAAAAAATGTTTGTAGAATCAACATGTAAAGTCTGACAATCTGAATAGACCTGCAATTCCCAAAGTACCTTCCAATTTTGTGCTCAATATGCATCAGATGTCAGTGAAAAGTTTGTAGATGGGTATGCTGTCTGGATCTGAGGGGGCTGTCCACCTTGTCCGTAAAAATGGGCGTGGCCATTTGTCAATTCTATGGGTCTGGCTTCCGGTCTCATCCGTGTCCAGCTATTTTTAGCTGTACAAAACAGTTTGTTTTGCTGCTTGATTTTGAAAATCGGTGTGTCTTACCATATTATTTTAATGCATTATCTTAATTATGAACACACTGGTTTGTAGTGCAAACAGTTTTACTGTTTACTGCACGTTGTTATTCTTCTCTTTAATTATTATTTCCCTATAGTGGCTAACGAACCGGAAGTCTTGCCCACAGGCTTACTTCCGCGTTGAAGAAAAAGGTGGATAGATTTTTTGCATGGGCTAAAACGATTTGCTAAATTACAAATTAGTAATTAGTAAAAAGCCTAGCGGGAGGTGGTGTAGTTAATAGTCAACTAATAGTAGCTTTCAAAAATGCAATTTCCTAACCTGTGGGGAGTCTGTGGATATGCCACCTGAGGTTAAGAATAGGACTTTGGATTTATCCCATTGGATAAAAGCATCAGCTAAATGACAAATTAGTTAATAGCCGCCTCCTTCAGCGTGACCAAGTGTATTTAAGGCAACTTGTCATTGAGTAAGCGTGAGGAATCCCCAAATGTGATTAAACATGGATCGGATCAGCCAGCAGCTAACATCGCTACTAACAGACGCTCAAGGTCGAGTAGACAGCTGCTTTCAGCTCAGAGCGCAGCCGAGCCCAGGACTCTGATAGTGGGCGACTCCATTATCAGAAACATCAGTAGCAGAAATTCAGCAACCTTCTGCTTTCCTCAAGCAACAGTTTCTGATTTGAACAAGGAACTTGGGAAAATTCTAATGAAGCACAAGACTGCAAATCGAATCATCATCCATGTGGGGAAGAATGATATTCGGAAAGAGCAGTCAGAACTCCTTAAGAAGGACTTCAGTGAACTCTTTGAAACACTTCGATTTCGATTTTACTAATTTGTAATTTAGCACGTCGTTCATCAGTGGGCCACTCCCAGCAAGAGGAACTAATATGTTTTCACGTTTGCTTGGGCTGAACACATGGCTACAAAGAATCTGCAGCTTAAAAGGAGTCAATTTCATCGATAACTTCAATCTTTTCTGGGGCCATAGACAACTGTTTAAACTGGATGGCCTCCACCTAAACAAACTTGGTGCAAGAGTGCTAAAGGACAACATCTACTTCTCCATCCGTCATCCTTCAGTAGTGTGTGCCAAACTACTCAACCTGAATGGCACACACACACCTGGACAGAGTATGAGTGACCACAGGACTTCATATCAGCTTCCGAGTAGCCACCCGCAGTTGGAATCAGCTTCCAGAAGAGATCAGATGTGCTAAAACATTAGTCACATTTAAATGCAGACTCAGAACTCATCTGTTTAGCTGTGCATTTATTGAATGAGCACTGTGCGATGTCCGAACTGATTGCACTATATTATATGTATAATCGTTTTCTTAAATTCATTTTAAACCTCTTAAATCAATTTTTTTTTTATAATTTTCAAAGTTTTTAAATTCCTTGTTTTATTGTTGTGATTACTGTTTTATTTTATTTTATGTAAAGCACTTTGAATTACCATTGTGTATGAAATGTGCTATACAAATAAACTTGCCTTGCCTTGCCTTTCATAGAAAATTAAAATAAGCATACAAACAAATTACTTAACAAAAGCTAATTAAAACTCGGAACCTTCACTGCAAATAAAATTAGTTCTAATCCAACATGTAAAGCAATTTGCACACCGCTGAAGTTACTTGTATAAGTAATCTCTGGTGTGTACAAAGTTATTTATTGATGATTAATTTGTTGACAAATTGTAAATAAAACAATAAATCAAAACATTGTTCACTATTCTTTATTCTTAAAATAGAACTGGTGCCGTGACCACCATGAAAATCATTGTGGAAATCGATAATATTAAAAATATACATAAATAGAACAATCTGTTGTGATAATGGACATTTAACATTTAGATTATACAACGTTAATACACTTGTGTGTGTGGCAAGTGTTTTACAAAAGTAGAAAAATGAACAGCACGATAGTCACTAAAAACAAAACGCAAAAGAAACTCTAAAAGAAACATTGGAAAGTTAAAATCAATTTTACATAATGAAACTCTTTAGTCAATAAGCTGTGTTTTCGACCAAAAATAAATAAATTTTTAAGTTGCAAATATAATTATGGAACTACTTTTCGCTGTATTCATTAAAATAGTATAACTATTGCGAAACGTTCTCTCTTCAGTCAGTCCGTGTTTTAGGACACAAGAAATTATGTCCCATGTTGCAAATATAAAGAAGAGTAACAATCAAAGTGAAGGCACTGACAAATGAAAAACCATGAGAAAGAGAAACAGGCTTTCCATTAAAAAAAGAGAGGACCCAACATGAAGCCCGGACGTATAGTTGCGTTTTCTGGTGTGGCCAGATGATACAGATATGTCAATAATAAGTGTTTATGGATATGGCCTTGACAATGCAGCAATAAATGAGCCCACCAGTAAAAACAGTAAACATAATCACAAATACATTTTCTACATTAGATCACAACCTGTCAATCCATCATTGTGATCCATAAACGATTCAAATCAAAAGTCCATTTACATCTTCACAAACTTTCTCCCTGCAAAGTCCACCATGGCAGAAGAGGACCTCTTCTTGCATTCAAGAAAAAAAGGCAAGTGTCTGTTGAGCAAAAGATGACCAGAATTACATTTAGCATGTCTAGGTAATCTACTGGTGCAGATTACATTTATTATATCACAAATGTTTTTAAATAAGGCTGAGAAATGTAAATAAAATTAAATTAGAAGTACCTTGGGTTTAGTGGTTTGCAACTCTAATTGGAAGAGCTCTCTCGTCTAGCGTCAAGTGCTCTATAATAAAGACATACAACATAAAAAGTACACAGATGAACACGAACCAATAAAACTTCACTCATTACAATGACAGCCTTTCCTGCTTGAGGAAAGCAGTCTGTTTTAATTTGACACACTGAATCAAAGAAGGACGTCAGCTATTTCTGTCTTGACTGACGGCTTGAATTGAACTCTAAACTGAAACGTTTCTGCCAGGCTTGAGTCTAAGAACCAAAGAATGTTCTTGGTTTGCTTTCAGACATGTATTATGTGATCTATTTTACATTTATATATGCTTATAGTTGTGTTTCCATGTGTTAGTCTCGACCAAGCTCTGTTCCAAAACCTAGTAAACTGCCTTGCTGTCTACGGCCTAAATAAAAGGCATACTAAGTAAATGGAACCTTCTAAGGGCAAATTCTAATGTTCTTAAAGTCAGGCGTTAACACGTTGCTAGGCTAACAAAATGATACTAGTTTAGAAATACACTAAAATAGTAAAATAGTACTTTTTTATTTTACTGAAATATTTTTATTGATGCTTTCTGAATTTCTCTTCCTTCATCCGCCATCTTGGATGGATTTTTTTTTTTGAGCTTGTTACTGCCATAGAATTTGGCAAAAGGAACTCAGCAGATTTAGGTTGCTTACCAACTGGAGTAGCCCTCACATCAGGAGGTTGCCTACTAAGTCTTAAAATGCCTCCTACGTAGGCAGCTCACTAGGTTTTGGAACACATCCTGAGTGTGTGTGGCCTGGCTCCAAACTCTAGTGAACGATCTGCCCTGTGCTCGCAGCTGGTATGACAGTTAACCATTACTCAGCCCCAGCGTTCATTTTTCAGTCTGGTACTCTCCACCTGTCTGGAACTCTATACGGAACCTGGCACAGGTAGAACACCCACGAACGGCCTGCTGTCTGGATTTGTCTTGCCATGCTATTGTAGCGCAGAACATTGAGCTCTTTTGAAGACGTATTAACTACCACTGCACAAAGAGTTCAATTCATATCCAGAAATGGACTGTCTCGAAAAGACATTCTTCATGATGTAAAAGAAACAAATCTGTGCTCTTCAATGGCATGAAAATAATTTTTCAATTTAGTATTAAATATTGCTTTTGGATGTAAGCAGTGGCACCAGTTTTAAGTGTTTAAAACTGCCTTAATACATTTTAACATCATATGAACCTGTCAGTGATAATTTTTGTCACTTTACAGTGCTTTGTGTCACATATTTTGCCAGAGCTGCAATTTAAAATCTTTTTGACGCAATGTGGCATTTTGCAATGTTCCTTTAATTACAGTTTCAGAGTTTAGTTTCAAAATGGCTGTAGTTTTAAAAACAAAGGCCTGTAATTTTCAAGCAATCTTTTAGGTGTGTTGGATCAGAGATGGTTGGACAGACAGACATAGATAGATAGAAGTCTAAGAACCAAAGAATGTTCTTGGTTTGCTTTCAGACATGTATTATGTGATCTATTTTACATTTATATATGCTTATAGTTGTGTTTCCATGTGTTAGTCTCGACCAAGCTCTGTTCCAAAACCTAGTAAACTGCCTTGCTGTCTACGGCCTAAATAAAAGGCATACTAAGTAAATGGAACCTTCTAAGGGCAAATTCTAATGTTCTTAAAGTCAGGCGTTAACACGTTGCTAGGCTAACAAAATGATACTAGTTTAGAAATACACTAAAATAGTAAAATAGTACTTTTTTATTTTACTGAAATATTTTTATTGATGCTTTCTGAATTTCTCTTCCTTCATCCGCCATCTTGGATGGATTTTTTTTTTTGAGCTTGTTACTGCCATAGAATTTGGCAAAAGGAACTCAGCAGATTTAGGTTGCTTACCAACTGGAGTAGCCCTCACATCAGGAGGTTGCCTACTAAGTCTTAAAATGCCTCCTACGTAGGCAGCTCACTAGGTTTTGGAACACATCCTGAGTGTGTGTGGCCTGGCTCCAAACTCTAGTGAACGATCTGCCCTGTGCTCGCAGCTGGTATGACAGTTAACCATTACTCAGCCCCAGCGTTCATTTTTCAGTCTGGTACTCTCCACCTGTCTGGAACTCTATACGGAACCTGGCACAGGTAGAACACCCACGAACGGCCTGCTGTCTGGATTTGTCTTGCCATGCTATTGTAACGCAGAACATTGAGCTCTTTTGAAGACGTATTAACTACCACTGCACAAAGAGTTCAATTCATATCCAGAAATGGACTGTCTCGAAAAGACATTCTTCATGATGTAAAAGAAACAAATCTGTGCTCTTCAATGGCATGAAAATAATTTTTCAATTTAGTATTAAATATTGCTTTTGGATGTAAGCAGTGGCACCAGTTTTAAGTGTTTAAAACTGCCTTAATACATTTTAACATCATATGAACCTGTCAGTGATAATTTTTGTCACTTTACAGTGCTTTGTGTCACATATTTTGCCAGAGCTGCAATTTAAAATCTTTTTGACGCAATGTGGCATTTTGCAATGTTCCTTTAATTACAGTTTCAGAGTTTAGTTTCAAAATGGCTGTAGTTTTAAAAACAAAGGCCTGTAATTTTCAAGCAATCTTTTAGGTGTGTTGGATCAGAGATGGTTGGACAGACAGACATAGATAGATAGATGGATGGATGGATGGATGGATGGATGGATGGATGGATGGATGGATGGATGGATGGATGGATGGATGGATGGATGGATGGATGGATGGATGGATGGATGGATGGATGGATGGATGGATGGATGGATGGATGGATGGATGGATGGATGGATGGATGGATGGATGGATGGATGGACGGACGGACGGACGGACATAGATGGATGGATGGACGGATAGATAGATGGATGAATGGATGGACAGACGAAGATAGATAGATAGATAGATGGATGGATGGATGGATGGATGGACAGACGAATAGATTGATGGTTGAATGGACAGACAAAGATAGACAGATAGATAGATAGATGATGGATGGATGGATGGACAGACAAATAGATTGATGGCTGGATGGACAGACGAAGATAGATGGATGGATGGATGGACGGACGGACGGACATAGATGGATGGATGGATGGATGGACGGACGGACGGATGGACATAGATAGATAGATGGATGGATGGACGGACATAGATAGATGGATGGATGGATGGATGGATGGACGGACGGACGGACATAGATGGATGGATGGATGGATGGACGGACGGACGGACAGATGGATGGATGGATGAAGATAGATAGATAGATAGATAGATAGATAGATAGATAGATAGATAGATAGTTTCAGACATGTATTATGTGATCTATTTTACATTTATATATGCTTATAGTTGTGTTTCCATGTGTTAGTCTCGACCAAGCTCTGTTCCAAAACCTAGTAAACTGCCTTGCTGTCTACGGCCTAAATAAAAGGCATACTAAGTAAATGGAACCTTCTAAGGGCAAATTCTAATGTTCTTAAAGTCAGGCGTTAACACGTTGCTAGGCTAACAAAATGATACTAGTTTAGAAATACACTAAAATAGTAAAATAGTACTTTTTTATTTTACTGAAATATTTTTATTGATGCTTTCTGAATTTCTCTTCCTTCATCCGCCATCTTGGATGGATTTTTTTTTTTGAGCTTGTTACTGCCATAGAATTTGGCAAAAGGAACTCAGCAGATTTAGGTTGCTTACCAACTGGAGTAGCCCTCACATCAGGAGGTTGCCTACTAAGTCTTAAAATGCCTCCTACGTAGGCAGCTCACTAGGTTTTGGAACACATCCTGAGTGTGTGTGGCCTGGCTCCAAACTCTAGTGAACGATCTGCCCTGTGCTCGCAGCTGGTATGACAGTTAACCATTACTCAGCCCCAGCGTTCATTTTTCAGTCTGGTACTCTCCACCTGTCTGGAACTCTATACGGAACCTGGCACAGGTAGAACACCCACGAACGGCCTGCTGTCTGGATTTGTCTTGCCATGCTATTGTAACGCAGAACATTGAGCTCTTTTGAAGACGTATTAACTACCACTGCACAAAGAGTTCAATTCATATCCAGAAATGGACTGTCTCGAAAAGACATTCTTCATGATGTAAAAGAAACAAATCTGTGCTCTTCAATGGCATGAAAATAATTTTTCAATTTAGTATTAAATATTGCTTTTGGATGTAAGCAGTGGCACCAGTTTTAAGTGTTTAAAACTGCCTTAATACATTTTAACATCATATGAACCTGTCAGTGATAATTTTTGTCACTTTACAGTGCTTTGTGTCACATATTTTGCCAGAGCTGCAATTTAAAATCTTAATGTGGCATTGTGGCATTTTGCAATGTTCCTTTAATTACAGTTTCAGAGTTTAGTTTCAAAATGGCTGTAGTTTTAAAACTGTAATTTTGTAATTTTCAAGCAATCTTTTAGGTGTGTTGGATCAGAGATGGTTGGACAGACAGACATAGATAGATAGATGGATGGATGGATGGATGGATGGATGGATGGATGGATGGATGGATGGATGGATGGATGGATGGATGGATGGATGGATGGATGGATGGATGGATGGATGGATGGATGGATGGATGGATGGATGGATGGATGGATGGATGGATGGATGGATGGATGGATGGATGGATGGATGGATGGATGGATGGATGGATGGATGGATGGATGGATGGATGGATGGATGGATGGATGGATGGATGGATGGATGGATGGATGGATGGATGGATGGATGGATGGATGGATGGATGGATGGATGGATGGA